GATTACAAAACTGCCGATCACAGGCAGATAACCGTTAATTATCACGGACATTTCACATTTGTCTCGTTCATAAACATGACAAATTCCAGAGCAAAGTGAATAAAACTAAAACTATTCAAGATGCAGCAAACCCACCAAGGCAAATATTCGATAGATCTCAACGAACGTGAAATTCGGGCAGGACGAAGTTCATCAAATGCAAGCTGTTGTAAACAAAACGAGTAGGAAAAGGTACATCACGGACTAGCTGACAAAATCACAAAAAGCGAGCTGTATACCTTAGAATTCAATTAAGTGTGTTCAATTTTCATCCTCATTATCAGCTAGAATACGTGCCAACTCCAAGGTCCTCGAAGCAGCATTATTGGCTCGTTTCTCCTCAGTCATAACACGTCCAGTCATTGGGTCAACCGGGCACATGTCACGTGGGCCCCCCTTCCGACCCATGGCAAGCACTGGCTGAGGTGGCAACAAACCAGATCGGAACAAAAGGCGTTGGGCGGGCTCTGAGGGCTGTGCACCAACCGAAAGCCAATACCTACACAATGCAATGAATTGTAAAGTTAAAGTCAGAAAAATAAATAAATAAATAAAATAAAAAGTTTTGACGGGTGAATGTGTTTTTGCTAAACTATACTTTAGACATGTTACAATCATGGACTATATATAACCATGAACATATTTTAGAAATGAATACTTCTCATTACTGAGATTGGCTGGATATTTGGACTTTGGACATATATATAATCATGGATATAGTCGATGTAATAGATCATTCAAAAGATAAGTATATGTGGACACTGATAATTAGTACAATATCATACTACACAGTGTAAAATTCATTAATCTATTAATAGTAAAAAAAGGGTATACGGGTGCATATATTAGATAACTGATAAATATAGTTCGGTTCATCAATTGAATAAAAGTAAACTATACACATTTACACATTACATGATGTGAAGTTAACAAGTGAGTCATAGGTGATGAATATGGCAACAATCACAGTAGACAAACATAGATTCTATCTACTTCATCATGTTAATGTTTCGTAAAGTTTCGTCTCCAAGCTTCGCAAAGCAACAGATAACTAGGGAACCCATTGCAAATTTACAGTAAGCTTATTAGACATAAACAGTCGATTTATGGAACTACACAGAAAGACTTCAAAATTTTCCAAAATGTGACCATTTTTCAGAGATACCGCAAACTGAAAAATTGAAAATATGATTTGGATACTTACTTCACTCTGTCAAAATTGATACCCATTCTTTTATCACCATCTTGGCCTGCAAAATTCAGAAAACAGATACTAATCCTGACGAAAGAGAATGGAGGTAAAAGAACTCCAATTCCAAGCTACATCCAGCTCCAAAACCGATTTGGATTGAAGATCGAGAGCGCGAATGATAAATATATCAGAAATAAATCCCAGATTAACGGGCCCATTTTGATGCATCGAACTATGAAAAAATGGATGGAATTCGTAATATTAGGGTTTACCGGGGAGGGGATTGTAGTAGCCCAAGACCTCCAACTGCTTGCCGTCCCTCGGAGATCTGCTATCCGCCGCCGTTAGTCTGTAGAAAGGCTTATTCTTGCATCCCAATCTCGTCAGCCGCAAGCGAACCACCATTTTCTCTCTCTCTCTCTCTCTAGCCGACTACTGCCTGCGTAGGAATGGATTCAGGCGAGCTCCGATATGGAGACGACCAGTCGAAGATTGGAGTAGGGTTTTGGTGTGGAGTTCTCAATTTCTTCCTGGTAGAAGCAATAATAGTCGACCCGCTCGGGAGGTGTTATACGAACCGACCCGTATCCGGAAAAAACGGTTTTTCTCATCACAACTCAAACTCTATTGGTCCTTCAGGGCGTGAGGTCAAGTGATACTAATGAAGAAAGAAACTCCATTTGAAGCTAGAAGTTACGGGATCGATTCTCACTATCGTGAGGAGTGTAAGTGAGTCATTGTACATTTCCTGAGAGGATTAGAACATCTCTAATGCTCTAATGTTGTTGTAGAATAAATTTTGTCAAATGTCATTGTGCACCTTGTAATAAAAATATTAAGTCTACAACTATGAAATAAAAAAATTATCTCCAATGCACAATATAGTCTAACTACAATAATATATACTAAACATATATTAAAAATATTAAAAATAAAAAAAAATAAATTATTTAAATAATTAGATAGCTTAGAATTGGGAAGAATTTTTCTCTCTCTTTCCTTCATTGGATAGTTAGAGTGTAAAAGGGAATGTTGATGAACAACCACATTATTGTCTACATTGTAGACATTAATTATGTCAACATCATCACAACATTTGTGATCACATTCTGCATTGAAAATGAAAAAATGATGAATTTATTAAATTTGTTGATGTGAGATGTAATTTACCACAACAACATTTGATCATTAGAGATGCTCTTAGTCCCATCTCTTAGGGTATGTTTGACTCAACGAAGGGAAAGGGATGGGAGAGATTTTAATGGAAGGGAGGGGAGGGGATGGTATGTAAAATAATTTTACCTTGTTTGGAGGAATTTTGTAGGAGGAAAGTTGAGGGAAAATGGTAAATTTTGTTTGGTTAGAAAATATAAGGGAAGGAAAAATAAGGTTGAATTGACTATTTAACCCTTAATAATATAAGAGATAAAATAATAAAATAATATTAATATTAAGGATAAAAAAGTAATTTTATATCTTCACATTTTCCTTCCCTTTCAAATCTTCCCAATTTTGGAAGGGAGCTATTTTTACTATTTGGAGGAATTTTGGTTCAAGAGTTTCATTCCCCTCCCCTTAGAAAATTTGAACCAAACAAGTGAAATATAAAATTTACCCTCCCCTCCCCTCCAAAACCCCCAACCAAACACTACCTTAGCGTGAGGATCCCCAAGGTGTGATAGGCCCTTTATTACTAGTTGGTGGGTAGTTGTGAATAGTGAAGTCGTAGAGTGAATGTGGAGATACCTCTCAGTCGGAAAAAAAAAATAAAAAAAATAAAATAAAAACTCAAACTCGATTGGTAAAGAAGACAAATTGTTCACGAGCGACTTATTTTATTTTTTATTTTTCTAGTTTTAAGAATTTTAAATGAAACAATGAAACAAACTTGTTCACGTGCGGAAATTTTATGCTAGCAAACTTTCTTTTCAAGTTTTGAGCCTTTTAGTTTCTCTCGAGTGTTAATTGTCAAAAAATTAAACTCAGAGCTCGAGTTGAACCTAAGGCTCATCTATTAACTGAACATAGTCGAATCGACTAGTTTATTAAACAAGCGCGAGCTCAAATATGAGTTCTTTAACTCGGCTAAGTTCGAATCACACTCATCAACCAATCACTAGGGCTGCTAGTGAGCCAAACATTACCGAACAAAAGCTCGTTTATGTTCGACAAGATTGTTCATTTGTTAATTCTAGACGAGTTCGAATAGAAAAGTAGTATATTTGATAATATTGAACCAACACGAGCTCGTTCGGACACGTTCGATAATGTTTGCAAACACGTATTTAATAAATTTTATATATTTCGATAATCCATATGATATTTTTATTAAAAAAAAATCAATGTCAATAATCATCTCTTAAGAGATTATTAGATTGTATGGCTAGCCCAAAATTTTGTATCAGTAATAATACGTTTTGTCAGTTCATCTGTTTTAATGATCCCAAACTTTTGAACCACTTTTCTGCACTAGTTCTTGTGGAAGCAAGCTTTTGACACATTGCAGAGCCATGGTAATAATTAAGCAGTAGCTACCTGAGCTGGGAAAAAAGGAACTTGAAGCTTTATTTTTACGTAAAGAAAACGGAGAATATTATAGTCGGAACAGAACAAGCATTATTAGCTACCCGCTAGCACAGTACTATTCGGAAAAAACCTTCTCAACGAATTCCAAGAATCGCTCGGAATAGAAAGTGGAGTCCACCGCCGATATCGACACCGAGTCCAACTGCAGGGATTTGTACGCGTGCTCGATCTTTTTGCTCATGTTGTACTCTTGCAGGATGTCGATGATGCCAAGGTACAACACGACATCATACACCTTGTGAAGCATCTCCGTGCCATCGTCTCCTGGAATATGCTCTGCTCGTGCCGGCATATTCACGCCTAGCTGGATTTGCAGCCTGATAAATGAAATCGAATCACAAATTTGACCTTACACGAAATCGAATCACAAACAACTATGAGATATAGAAAGTCCACTGTCCTTTTGGCAACTTCATAAATTGTGGGCAACCCATAAGACTAAATAGAATAGTAGTCATAGGATGGACTGTTAATGAGATGTTCGGCAAATACACATCACAAACAAGTTTCGTTATACTATTTCATAAAAAATATTTAATTAAAATGAGTTGTTCGCGAATAATCTCTCCTTGTTTAATGAACTAGCTCGATTAATAGTTGTTTCAGCTCGACTCATTCGAGCTGAGCTCGAATTTTTACAAGTCGACGAATTGTTGTGTTCGTTTAATATATAGCTCTAGTATGAGGAAATCTTACAGCTACATACAAGATGCATTCAAATTTCTACTTTACAGTTTCTGGGATTTATTCCCTGAATTTTGCTGTTTTTGCTTCTGTTTTTCTCCCTCAATGTTTCTTTCAGTTTTATTTTATTAGAGAACGAACAATCTTTCTCAACTCTTACAAGCCATTTGAAACAACAACATACACTACACACAACTTACAGGCCATTTGAAACAACATACACTACAGCTACACACAACTTACATGACATTTTCCTTACCCAAAAAACATATAAAAAAAAAAAACTCTCATTGATCCAACTTTTTCACTTCACCATTCCCATATTCATCACCACAATCATCAACCCCCCTTAGAGAGACGTCATTTATAAGCCGCGTCAAGTTAATGTACGATGAGCCCCCTTCCTCAATAGCCCTCTTCGCCATTTTCCTGAGCTCCCGAGCTCTTTCTCTCCTCTCCGCCCCTCTCTCTCCTCCATCCATCAACTCCTCGATTGCCGCCTTAATCCCCTCCGACCTTACCTGAACTCCCACCTTCTCTTCCTCTCCGGAAGCAACCGGCACCTCGACTCCCACCCTCACCCCGGTTTTCGCAACACTCAAAATGAACTTCTCGTTCGAAAACTGCTCCGCAAACACCGACCACGTCAGCATCGGCACCCCCGCCACCACCCCCTCGAGCGTCGAGTTCCACCCGCAGTGCGTCAGAAAACCCCCGACTGACGGGTGGTCGAGTATCAACACTTGCGGGGCCCACTCGCGGATCAAAAGCCCCCTCCCCTTAACCTTCTCCTCGAACTTCTCGTCCCCGAACCACTTTTCGAACTCATCCGGCACGTTCATCACGACCCAAACGAATGACCGGCCAGAACCCTCCAACCCTAAACCGAGCTCGACGAGCTGAGCGGCGGCCAGACGGGACATACTCCCGAGGCAGACGTAAACGATCGAGCCCGGTTCTTGGGAACCGAGCCACTGCAGGCACTCGTGCTCATCGACCGAGGCTCGTTTTCCACGTTGGGCCTTATCCAACTCATCCTCGTTGCACAATGAAACGGGCCCAATGCACCAAACCTTTTTCCCTTTAACTTGCGCGTAGTGCCTCACGTACTCCGGTTCGAGCTCCTCGAACGTGTTGGCGACGGTCCCGAGCGGTCCGGATTCTGAATCCAACATCTTCTCGCGAAATTCGTTTCACTCGGGCGGCATTTTGCCGGCCGTGCCCCTAATTTGTGCCTTCGTTATCTTTATCCGATCGGGCAGCTCAGGCAGCACGAAATACTCTGTATCCGAAGCGGCAATGTCTTCGAAATAGTTGGAGGCTTTCATCAAGTGCATGCAGACAACTGCAAAGCAGCTCGTCCCGTGAAACACGAGCGTCGGGATTCCCAACCGGGTGGCCACGACCGTGCTCCATACAAAAAACATGTCGGATATTAGACACGCCGGTCGAGGCTCGAGGTTCCGAAGGATTTATTCGACTCGGTCCTCCAATAGGGTCGTGGCTTTCGTAAATTTTACGGACACGTCCAGCGAGAGAATCCCCTCGAGACTTTCGAAACCTTCCGGAAGGCCGGCTTCGACACTCGGGAATCTGAAGTGGGAGACGCGAATGCACGACCCAGAGGCGACCGCACGTTCGATTGTCGGTTTAACTCGGTCGTGATTCTTGGGAGAGAGTAGGATTGTGACGGTTATCCCGCGTTTGGTTAGTAGTCTTGAGATGTCTACCATGAGAATCATGTGGCCTTGAGCTATGAATGGGAGAAGAACAAAATGGGGTTGCTTTTCTTATAGCCATATATTCTTTCTTTCTTTTTACTAAGCTGGTTTGTTTTATGGAGTTGAGGCTTAAGGAAGGGCATGGCTTATATATAACTTTCTTGATGGAGGTTTCTTGATCATGGTGGTGACGGAAGAGCGTACGTCATCACATCACGCGAAGGGTCGGCCGGTTATCACATATACATATTGGAGAAAAATTGTGGTGTGGACAATGAAAGGAACTTATGATGAATATTTATTAATTATATGGTCCTCACTTAGATAGAAAAACAAATTAGAACATTCTATCTTCTATGCATTAATTAATTAAGGCGTGCGTACCTTAGATAGCAAAACACGTAACTTATGATCATGTTGTATGTTAACGTGCGATATGAAGGGCTTTTTTCTTTCTTCTTGAGGGCGAGGGTATAGCAATTGGAGTTCGAAATGTTCTGGTGGTCTCGTCTTGTGAAATTCCCTCTTTGTACGTACCTTGCAGTGGATTTGTACTGATTTCGGGAGATGTTATAGTTCCGTTACGAAATCATTTCGTCGGGGTTTGTAACTGTAAGATCATATCGGAGATAGTTGATCTAACGGCTACAAACATACTTCAAATTTACCAAAATAACTTTCATAAGTCAACAGATTGACTGAAAAGTCATGGTACCTCTTCTAGAAGCAAGATTCCCAAGATTAGGTTAGGGGCCCAAATTGATTATGTTGTAAAATAAATATCTTTAATTGAAGGGGTAGTAAAAGCAGATATTTTTATTTCCAGAAACAACCATTTGAAGCCAAGAGCTGAAATTAAAGTATGTCTTTATTTTTTTTAAAACAAAGTGTATTATTTTATATGTTGGTTAAATCAAGTATAATTATTAGATGACTAATTTTATATAATCACGAAAACTAATAAATAAAATGGTTCTCGAAGTTCAAAACATATTATTAGTCCTTTTTGATTAAGTATTTAAGGTATTTTAAAGTTTTATTAGATGTAAGAAAGTGGGAAAAATATATGTTCTATATTATTCAAAAGACATGTACACATATATATAGGAACATATATTTTTCCCACTTTCTTACATGGTATCAGAGACAGGTTTGAGATATGATATCAGAGCCCACTTTGTGCCTGGGTTAGAGACATGATATCAGAGCCCGACCAACTTTGTGTCTGGGTTAGAGACATGACATCAGAGCCCACTTTGTGCCTGGGTTAGAGACATGATATCAGGACTCACAAGTGAGGGGGCGTGTTAGAATATCACTTGTGAGTTGTCCCACATCGTTCATACATGGAAAATAGACCCACCTTATAAGACTAATGTGCTACTCCTCCTTCCACCAATTGGTTTTGGGATGAAACCTCATTTAGGCTTCATATGGACTTTCCTTTTCCCCCACTTTCTTACATTAGACATTGGTAGAAGTCCAAATTTTACATGGAATAGTCTGAAGCGCAATGAAAATTAGGAATGCACAATGAAAATGACATATACAATTGCAAAATAAAAGATGTTAATATTTAAGTTTGAAAAATTCTGCATTATATATAAGGAGTGATATGCTTCTGTTTAGTGTGTTGTTATTTTTTGTGTTTTTTTGCTCCTTAATTGTGCTTGTTTCATTTTAATTTATGTTTTTTGGGTCCATTTTGTCATCCTTGCTCGTTTTATATTTTTCATAATGTTTTGATGTTTTGTGTATTTTTTTTTGTCTCTGTTTATATTTTATTTTATAGAAAAATGTGCACCCGAAATATGGTCGCAAAAAATTACCCAAAAACTCAACGGAAAACTCGTCGAGAAAGTGGCCAGTGTTTGCAGAGCAGTTTCCGGACGAGAAGTTCGTTTTGAGTGTCGCGAAAACAGGGGTGAGGGTGGGAGTCGAGGTACCGATTGTTTTCGGAGACGAAGAGAAAGTGGGAGTTCAGGTGAGGTCGGAGGGGATTAAGGCGGCAATCAAGAGTTGATGGATGGAGGAGAGAGAGGGGCGGAGAGGAGAGAGAGAGCTCGGGGGCTCGGGAAAATGGCGAAGAGGGCGATCGAGGAAGGGTGCTCGTCGTACGTTAACTTGTCGCGGCTTATAAACGATGTCTGTTTAAGGAAGGATGATGATTGTGGTGATGAATACGGTAATGGTGACGTGAAAAATGTCATCTAAGTTGTGTGCAGTATAGGTTGTTTCAAATGATTTGTCAGAATTCAGAAAGATTGTTTCATTCTCTAATAAACTAAAACTGAAAGAAACTTTGGGGGAATAAACAAAAGCAGAAGCAAAAAGACATCCAAAAAATTGAGGGGAATAAATTCTAGTAACTGAAAAGTAAAAAACTGAATACATCTTGTATTAACTGTGAGATTTCCTCGTGTTAAACGAACCGAACAATTTTTCTGTTATAATATCGCTTGTGAGTTGTCTCACATCGTTCATACATGAAAAATAAAGGGTCAAAATCTTTTTCACCCCATTATATATCTAT